GCACCTCTGCAAAATTTGCACCTCTACCACCGAAATATCCCAGAGTGTATTTTGTACTTGAACTGTAATGTTTTTGAAGGCCAAATTTAAAATTTAAAGATTTTTTGTACTTTAAAATTGAATTAATGGAAAATGTTCTCAAAACATGTAGGGGTTGAAATGGACCAAAAACAGAATTTTTTCCCGATTTTGCTGTTGCTCTACAGGCCACAATTATAAACCAATCGATTGTCATAGTACAATATTAGTGGGTAAAATAAACCATAACTTTTATGTCAAAAATGCAAACATTTCCACTAAACCGCCAATATTTTTACTCCCAACCAAATCACAAATACATTAAAAGGCCACTTCTGACCATTACGGTGATGCTGATAAGCAAGAAATCGGATACATAGCAAAATAGGTAGAATATATATAAAAAGCACTAGATCTTAGTTATTCTGCTCACAATTCTCATTCTTGAATGGTCTCCTCCCACAAAAACATAAATCTAAGAAAATCGTGTTAAAATATGACAATAAAAAGTAAATATTTTTTTTTACTTTTTTTTTTTTTGTTAAATTTTTATCATTTTTTTATAGCATGCGATTTTTTCAATTTGACTTACAATTTTTAAATGTAAAATTTCGAAAGTTTTTCTACACCTGCAACAATATGTGTTTAGGGTATTATATACTGGTCGCAATTATCGTCGGATCCTCAAATTTTGCTCGGGGGTAGTGCTAACGCCTATTGTTTTTCAAGATGTACATTTAGATGTTCAAATGGACCAAAAAAATTAAATTTTCCTGATTTTGCAGTCGCTTTACAGGTCCCAATTGAAAACCCGTCCACTCGGAATTTTACATGAGAATAGAGTTAAGGACAGGGAAGAAGTCTAGAATTTTGGCTGACCATTGGATTATATTTAGCTGTAAATGGACCACAACTTTCGATTGAATACGTAACAACACAACGGAGTGCATAAATATTGGGCAAATGCCCCTGGTTAAAAAGGGTAACATCTGGGCAGGGCTCTAAGACATTATTTCAAAAACGAAACCTTCCAAAATGGATTTGGACATAAGGGGGCTTTTTTGTAGTGTTGTAGGGTATCACATGGTCGGCCCCGCACGAGTATATCCTTTGCCTACTTGTTAATTACTTTTTTCACAGGAGGATGTATATCGCCATGTGTCATACAAATTTCCAGGGATACTGATATCTTTATATTTTAGCTACAAGTAACAGTGATCGATTTTATGTACATTCAGTTTTTTTTCTACAATTATAAACTGATTTCACTAAAAAATACCGATTTTGATTAGTAGGGAACCTTTTTGCGAAAGGATTATCAATATGACGATCCTAGTTTAATAGTAGCGATGGTAATGGTACCACAAAGTTTAAAGTTTGAACCGAAAGTGTATGAAAGTCGGCTCCCAGTGATGCAAACGATCTGACGAGCAAATTTGAGTTGAAAGGGGTAAATTTCACTTTGCCTTCGCCAAACCCCCATTTTAATCAAACCGGTTTTGTCTCAATTATATCAATTTGGCCTGTAAAAATAACAACTACTTTGATTTCTCTTTATCTATACACTGAGAATATTAAATATCGAATAATACTCAATTGTTTGAAAATTGTGGCTGAAACCAACAAATTGCTAACATTTGCTAGCGATCATTATAGTCTTTATTCACTTTCATAATTTCCTCTTAAGAATTTGGAATTATTAATGGGTCTAGAAGAGGACCGAAATACTCTGTTGATATAATAATAATAATAATAATAATAATAATAATAATAATAATAATAATAATAATAATAATAATAATAATAATAATAATAATAATAATATAATAATAATAATAATAATAATAATAATAATAATAATAATAATAATAATAATAATAATAATAATAATAATAATAATAATAATAATATAATAATAATAATAATAATAATAATAATAATAATAATAATAATAATAATAATAATAATAATAATAATAATAATAATAATAATAATAATAATAATAATAATAATAATAATAATAATAATAATAATAATAATAATAATAATAATAATAATAATAATAATAATAATAATAATAATAATAATAATAATAGGCCATTAAACAAAAGAAAAAACGAGTAAAAAACCAGCTAATTTCGGTCGGGCCGAACTTTTAATACCCTCCACCATTTAGAAACATTTAAACATTTTCAACAAAAAAAATCCGTAAACTACCACTTAATTGAAAACCGTTATATGGGGACTATACGAAGACGTGGACCTGCTTATTAAATTTGTATACCCTACACTACAAGGTGGTCAGGGTATTATAACTTTGTGCATTTGTTTGTAACAGGCAAAAGGCAAACCTTTTATTGTGCACCAAACGTGTAATATCAGCCCGAATAGTATGGAATTTTCTACATACAACCAAATTAGGCCTGCAAATAAGTATGCCAAATTTGATCGAAATCGTTTCAGATATAGCTATAGCTCCCATATATATTGTTCATTCGATTTGTTATATTTTTTACCCACAGCCGTAATATGCACTCTCTAACAACGATATTCAGGGAAATATATCAAATACAGCTCAGAAATATCTTTGCTAAATTTTTATCGAGATCGGTTCCCATTTGGATATAGCTCCCATATATATATCTTTATCCGATCTCATATTAATTGTGCACCAAATGGGCAATACAAATCCGAATTTAAAAGATAAAAATGCTTCGGCATTTTTAGTCCTTTGAACTTTAATTTATAATTATAATCATAGTGTGTATGATTGAATTCTGCAATAAAAACTTTTAATTGTTATGTGGAGCTCTACTAAATTATCAAAGTGCTGTATGGTATCATAAAGTCGGCCCCGCCCGACTTTAAGACTCTTTACTGGTTTGTCATATGTCGTAGTTACGAAATGTAAATACGATTACAATTCCAGTGAATAATGCCGCAAAAACCTTGAAAATACCGAGTATCGGGAGGTACCGTCATATGGGGGCTATACGATACAAAATATCCGAAAGTATCGTTAAATGGGGCTATACGAAGACGTGCACCTGCATACACAATTTTCGAGTCATATGTTGTAGTATCCATTAAGAATTTGAAGTACGCAATTTTATTCAATTCCGGTGAATTATGTACCTAAAATCATCACAATACCGAATAAAAAAGGTACCGTTTTATATACGAAAACTTGGACCGACATGGCGCATTTACGGACTTAACCTGCCTACAGGTAAAATACACACGCGTGTGCAAAATATTAGACTTTTATCTCAATTCGTTCGAAGGATAGTGTGATTAGAACATACGGACAGAAAGGCGGACATAAAAAAATGACTTACAATTTTACCCCGATCCAGAATATATATACTTTGTAGGGTCTAACAGGAGTATTTCGAGGAGTTCCAAATGTAATGACAAATTTAAAATGCCCTCCCTAATCACAAACCCTAATCAGGAATTTCCTTTTCCTGTTGTAACGAACTAAAATTTTTGAATTGAGTGCTTCATTTAGTTTGCATGTTATAACAAAAATTAAAAGTCACTTTTGTATAACATCCTCACTTACACATATTGTCAAATTTGTCAAATGGGTGTATATACAAATGGACATCAACGAAATGAAGGGTTCTATTCTGTCGTCATTAAATGGACAACCAAAAAAAAAAAAAAAAAAAATACAGAAACCAACAAAATCTAACTTAATACAATTATTATTTATCTGTTTTATTTTTTTCTACCTAATATTTTGAAATCTGAGAAATAAAATCAATATCCATTCAACTCCATTCATTTTATTGTGTTTGCCTTTTTATCTCAAGGATTTGCTCTTTTTTTACTTGTTGGTTGGCTGGCTGGATGTCTTTTTCCACCTTCACTCAGTGTGGCAAGGAAGAAAATAAAGACGAACAAGTGTGGCCTGCCGTTGGCCATGTTAGTAGTACGTCGTCTGCCTCCCATGGCAAAAAAAAAAACGAAACAAAAATACGAAAATCAAAAAAATACAACACTTGCAACATGACTCTGTGAGAAGAAAACTCTGTCTGCTCCTGCTGCGGCTGCTGGTGGTGCTGAATATGTAGTAAAACTTAAGATATCTCGTCTATTTGTACAAGGCAACAACTTAGCGACAGACAGACAGACAGGCACAAGGACGGACAGACGACATACGATGCCACACGGCATAATGCAAAGGCTGCTTGCTTGCTGGCTGACTGGTGGCAGAGCCCCACTACCAACAACAGCAGCAGCTGCCGTTGCCGCCGCCACAACAACAAAAAAATCTGTTGTAAATAAATTTGTGAATAAACTTTTAGTATGCAACTTCCAGCAGTACAACAGAGACCAAGTGGTTGTTTGGGGGTCTCTTTTAATAGCTCTGGCTAGCGACTGTGTGTGGTGTCCAACGGACGTCGGACAACGAACGACTCAACAACGCGTGACTCCGTGACTAGTGAGTGTGTGCGACGCGAAATGGTCAACAATAAAGCTTTTGCCGTCGCCGCCGTCGCCTGGCGATTTGCAATGGAAGACGACGACACGGACTAAGGCAAACGCAAGAACATAATAACAGAGCAACCGGAAAAATACAGAATAAATAACAAAAATTATTGTGAGCAGAAAAATTGGCAAAAGAACGAAAAAAAAAACAAGAATGCAATAAAAAAATAAAAGAAGTTTTGAGTGGTGTTGGTTGCTCTCCGCGATTTCGCTCTCTCACTCTCTCTCTCAGTTTTTTGGAAGGCAGAAACAAGTGTCGGTTTGTTGGTTGGCTGATTGTGGGGTTTGCAATTTTTTTTAAAGAGATAATCACAACATAATATGTAGTGAAAGAGAGGAGAGAGAAAGTACGGTGCAATGAGCGTGTAAAAAAATAATTGTAAATTTTTCTTCTGGTTATATTTTCTCACTTTAATTTGGAAAGAGGCTCTCTCGGAATAAAAGAAACAAGAGAGAGAGAGAGAGAGAGTGTGTGTGTGTTATAATGAGCAATGGGAGCTTAAATGTGGTGATGTTGTATATAACTTTGTTGCTGCTCTCCTTTACTTGTATTAACATTGCCAATGTCTGGTTGTTTTTTGGCCTCCAACTGCCGCCGCCACCGCCTCCACTGATTTTGCTGAGGTGCCCAAATGTGAATGGATGGATAGCTGCTGGATTAGAGAGATGATGATGTGGAACACACAAACGAACGAAGACAACTGGCTGGCTGGCTGTTTGTTGGTTGGCTGGTTGATTGGTGGTGCGCAGCACCAAAACTTTTATGCTCTAGTTTGAATTTTGGCACATAAGGTTGCGCCAGGACTTTTCTGCTACTTCTGCTGCTGCTCCTGGCTGGCTGCAGCAGTGGCTATATTTGATAAAATAATAATATTTCGACAACAACAGCAATGAATTGCAATAACCTCTGGCAAGTGCGATATAGAATGTATAAGATGAACTGGGATTCTTATACGTTGGCAACAACAACAAGAAACTCATGACTTGTTGTTGCTGTTGTCATTAGGATTCGCCTCTTGCTCCTTCAATGGATATGTGTGTGTGTAAAAAGATTTTTTTTTTGGTTTTTGGTGGATACACTTAACATAACTGGCAACGTTAACGTCAGCGCCAACACTGACGTTGCCGACCAGCCAGCCCCATTTAGAGAGAGACATTCAAATAACATCGACTACGACACCAAACACTAACGTTGTCGTCGTGGTGGAGAACTATGACTACAACGAGATGGCTACGACACCAAAAGTGTATTAAAATTCTCTGGTATTGAAAAACGGCTATAATTGTGGGCTGCTGACAACTGGATTTTTGCGAGTTATTCCAAAAAAACACCAAAAAATTGTTGTTGTAATTTTGCAAAATTTTTTTCTTCTTTTTTCTTCTTCTTTTGGATTATGAAGTTAGTGCGTAACAATTTTGTTGTTGTTGTCGTAGTGTTGTGATAGTCTGTCATAAAAAAATGAAAAAAAGTACATAATTCTCTTCATCAAACTGTCACAATATTAAGTTCTAAAAGCCAACACCAATACATGGAAAAGCCAAAGGAATACAAAAAACATAGCTAGAATCGCAGCATCAACGTCAAGGGGCACTCTGCTTCTCAAAAAAAAAGGAAAAAAAATGGAATAAAGCACTCAAAAAACCCAGAGCCATGGATTTTTATAAGGACCTCATAAAAGTGAGAAAATACAACGAAGAAACATTTTAATGCCAATAAAGGATACAAGTGCATATCCCTCAACAAAAATAGAAAAAAAGTACAAAGGAAGAAATTGCAAAGGAATATGGCAAATAAAAACAGGAAATTAAAATTAAAAAAATAAAAAAAAAAACAAAATCTAGTGAAAAAATTCTTAATAAAAAAAAGTTTTTCATAAAATTATATTCAAATCCTTCTTGGAAAATGTCCATACATCAACGGAAGGAAGCAAGCCATCCAAAAAAATTAACAATTTCATTGGCAACCAAAAAATAAATAAATAATACCGCCGTCAAAAAATATGCTCCCATGGAACAAAAAGGAAATAATCCCGCGAGCGTGAGTGATTAGTGACCAAAAGTTCCATGTCGTATGTCGTTTTGTGCGAATGTCGTGTGCGTGCCTAGTACCCTAAATGACAGTGCGTAGCTATATGCTGGCCTTTACCTTTAAAGGCCTATGACGACGTACTGTAAATTGTCAACGTCTGGCGTTGCTGCCTTTAAAAAACATGAATAAAACAAAACTTCGCTGTTGTTGCGCTGATGCCCCCTCCTCCACAACGCTTGCTGCCCCAACTAACTAAACCCACGAGAGCTATTTATTTTTAGTGCAATAATTAATATCTAAATAAATTTGATTAAAAAAAATATTTAAGAGAATTTAATGTGATTTTATTTTTCATATGCAGAATTTAATATTCAATGAAATTGACAAATAATTGTAAAAACAAAGAAATAAAATGTTGCCGTCGGTAAATGCATGCCCATGGAAGAAAATGTGTGAAATTATGCCGAAGAAACGGATTAGCTGTTAATTGAAATTTTGGGGTGAGTTTATGTTTTATTTAAAGCATTAATGTGTGACTGTTCCATGCTATGAACACACGAAAGGCAAAATATGATTTTTTTTATTAAAAAAAAAAATGATTTGAGATTTATATGTAAAACTTAGTTATTTTGAAAGAGATTGTACTGGTATGTCCCAGTAGTCGGCATTTTTCATATTCAATACATATTAGCTTCGATTGACAGCTTCGAATATAATTTCAGCTATCTTTGTGCAATTTTACACAAGTTAATGGGTATCAGTCGGTATTGCCGACATATTGATACCCTCAGCCTTTATCCGTTTATTCAAATATATTTATTCATTCATTCGTTATTAAAAATGTTGACCCTCTACCGATGGAGTAGAACAGTATTGTTCATTTCGTATATGTCCTTAGTCTGATAAAATCATTGGAGGTGATAGCTTTGAACAATGTGTACATACTATTCGAAAATGTTCAAAGGCACCAGAAAGAGTGGGTCAACATACTCCATATACACGATTTTTGAAGAAAATCGCTTATTTGTTTCGCATGTATAAGGGTTATAATTTTCATAATGTTAAAAACTGGGAAAGGTACCAGCGGGAGTGGGCCCATAAATTTCATATTCAGATCAGATCTCTTGTTGTTAAAGATATTTTGTAATACACAAGATTTGAAGAAAATCGTTGACATATTTAGCATGTTATGAGAGTTATAATTATTCAGAGGACCGATATTTTATAAATCCATATTCGATCCTATGTAGTATTTGGTTGATTCAAGTTACCTAATGCTTGTTTATTCAAAATATTGTGGGGGAGTATCAGAAGGAAAAGTTCGTGGTAGATGTTCCCGTTTTGGTATGACCCCCATATATCGGACTCATGTACTTTATGGTTCATTTGAAAAGTTTAACAGCTTTATCCAAACGGTCTTACTGATATTAGTAGTTTATATATTCAAATGTTTTATTTTCCCAATGGTGGAGGGTATTAAAAGTTCGGACCGACCAAACTTAATGGTTTTTTATTACTTGTTTTACATAAAAGTTATGGTCTATTTCACCCGCTAAATATTATCCGATGGCCATACAACTTGGTATGCATCTGCCAAGTCTTGAACTCCATTCCATGCAAAATAATTGTGTACAGTAAAGAAATTGTAAAATCAGTAAATTTTTATGTTTTTGGTTAATTTCAACACCTAATTCTCCAAACGTAATAGACTTCTATTCTGAACATAACACCATCTCCATGCTAATTTTCGTGAGGATCGGGCCATATTTGCGACTCGTAGCGTGATTACAAATTAACATGGACATACGGACGGAGGGACGAAGAAACATAGCTAGAACGACTCAACTCGGCGATATAGGAAGATCCATATAGGAAGATCCATCCATCAACGGTGAAGAAAAACGGCTTAATTATACCTATGGGCCAAAATCCATACCAAACAATGACCAAAGCCATTATCTTTTTGTAAAACATGTTTGTTAATTTTTGTTCCATTCTTCGATATTAATGTGGTTCCGGCTCCTTGGATATTTATGGCATTTTTAAAATGACTTTTCAAAAACTGCAATCTTTCTTAATTTTTGACACTTGTCTTCATATAGCCATATCTCAGAGCTAAATTAATAAAGGGATTAATAAGAGTCTCATTTAATACCAAAAGCCTCACATGTTATCAAGTTTAAGGGTTTAAAAAGACACATGAACCCAGAAATATTTGAGAGGGAAACGAATAGGATTTATTTCATTTGTAGAGTACAAATGTATTTAGTATTTACAAAAATATATAAATCCAAAATAAATCCATATATATTTAAAGAATGTCAAATTCGTTAAAAAATACGCCAAATATAATTTCAATTTTATGGATTTCATTTATATTCGTTTATTAAATGCAACTGACCGCAACGATTCTCACCTTAAGCTAATCCCTTTAATCTGATTGAATAAAATTTATTTGAAAATAAAACATAACATAATAATTTATTAACCGGTCTCATTTTCAGAACGAACGAAAATTATAAATTAATGACAACAACCTTAACGTGTCATATGGCAATTCATTCGGCCGTTCTTAAGTCAATACGTAGCAAAAATATATACAAAAAAAAAAAAAAAAAATGTGTACATACTTGTTTACGCTTATGTTGCCACATGTCATTGACACATAGAAATATTCCTAGAGTGTGGGTGATCGGAGAGGTATGGCGGGTGGTACAAGTAGACGGAATTATAAGATTTAACAAATATTTAAATACTGTCTTACCGTTGTATGTGGGATATATCTAAACCTGTACTGGCGTTGTACTAAATGGCCTTCTTTTCGTTAGGGACTAGAAAAGTTCAATTTGGCTTCGCTTGGAAAATTCAGCTACGACCTCTATAAACCAAATGCTGGGCAGTCCTTTATACGAGGTATCCTTCCTATATAAAACCAGGTAAAAATTGAATTATGTTCCGACCGTGCCAAACTTTAGTCGATGAAATTAGCTATCTTTGATATCTGGGTAACGAATTTGAGATTATATTTCCAAGGAAACAGGTTTCAAATCAGAAAAACAACCAGTAAGGAAAGGTAAAAGACGTACGGGGCCAACTACATGATACCCTACACCACTACGCATATTTAGTAGAGCTCTCGGAACAAAAAAACTTTATATGGGGAACTATATCCAACTCTGAAACGATTTTCAACTAATTTCACGGAGGCTTTTGCACATGATGCATGAAATGACTTCGATTTCACCCACCACCCTGTGGAAAGAATTTGGATATTTTCAAAATAAAAAATCTGTTGAAATGTTAAGAATACCGAATATAGCCCTTATATTGGGGTCTATACGAAGACGTGGACCTGCATAGGCAACTTTTGTCATAAGCCATTACAACATTCAAATACGAAACTTGAAACAAAAATCCGCTGAATAATGTAGCTAAAATCATCAAAACACCGAATATATGAAGGTACAGATATATGGGGCCCATACGAATGACTGGACCTGTATAGACAATTCTCTGCCATAGACTGTAGTTCCCATTACGAAATTTTAAACAACTCCGTTTAAAACTGTCCCTAAAATCGTCAAAATATTGTAAATCGGGGGTACCGTACTATGGGGGCTATGCGATATCGTGAACCTATATAAACAATTCTCTTCCAGAGAGTAAAGTACTCAGAAAGAACTCCTTGTGTGGATTTTCCGACAATTTCTTTTGGAAAATGTGACCAACATTATCAAAATACTGAATATCGGAGGTACAGTTATATGGGGGATATACGATATCGTGGACCTATATAGACAATAATTTTCCAGGGGGCAAAGTACTCAGAAGGAAATCTTGTTGTGGATTTTCTGATCATTTCATTGAAAAAATTGACTGCAATTATCAAAATACCGAATTAGGGGGGTGGGGGTAGTGGTTCCGTTGTATTGGGGCTATACGATATCATGGACCTATATTAAAAATTCTCCCCCAGAGGGTAAAGTAAAGAGAAAAACTTCGAACTTCACCTGCCTGCACACAAAAGACTGATCTGTGCGAAATTTTAGCCTTCTTCTGAACCGATCTCGATAAAATTTGGCAGAGGCTTTTTCGAGCAGTATCTCATGCTTGGTATCAAATATAATTGTTGTGGAGTACATATTACGAATCTGAGGGATATTAACACTGAATCGGATAAAACATGTATACGGGAGCTTTAGCTATATCTGAACTGATTTTCACAAAAATTTAAGAACTTTCTTTTAGAATGAATGACGTCGGAAGGGCCAAAATTCAGTCCATTTGGGCTGATATTAGCCATTTGGTGCACAATTAACCTGATATCGGATAGAAGTATATGTGGGTGCTATAATTCGGAATATAATTCGATCTGAATAAAATTTGTCAGATGCATTTCTGGGATGTATCTGATAACTGGTACCAAATATCATTATTGTGGAGTGTATATAACGAATGTTAGGGACTAACATATTAAATCGGACGAAACATGTAGAGTGAGATAAAAAAACTGCAACAAAGTCAAACGCCATTATTTTTATTTTTTTTTAATTTTATTGAATGAAAACTTAAAACGTCGGAATAAGTTTAGATTTGTTCAAATTGTTCACCTTTGGCTCAAACTATGGCCTTCAATCGGCCAATGAAACCGTCAAACGCTGGTCCATTCCCGGCGAAGCGGTTGCTTGAGATGCTGGACACTTTTGTATTTTTTAGTGCCAACCTTGCATTCCAAAATACTCTAGGCACACTAGTCCGACGGATTGGTATCCGGAGATTTTGATGGCCATAGTGCGCTGGAAATGAAGCGAGGAACCTCATTTTGTAACCATTCTTGGGTGGCGCGAGTTACCTACAGCCACCAATAAACAACATTATTATTAAGTTCATTATTTTCAACCACAACCTCATTTATTAAAAACATCATTATTGTTAACACCATTATTATTAACATCATTATTATTAACATCATTATTATTAATATCATTATTATTAACATCATTATTAGTTACAACATTGTCATAAGCACCAAAGAGCTAACACCAATATTGTTGACATTATTTCGTCAGCAATAATTCTCCACTTCAACATCACAATAACAACACTAGTAATAAAACTATGACGGAAATAACCCAAAAAGAAATGTTTACTTTTACTGTACCCAATACAAATTTTTAGCTTAAGTATTTTTCTTGATAGCTCTAGATTTTATGTTCCTTTGTTCTTTGTTAACTCTAAGAAAAATCAATAATTGTAAAATCGCTTAAATATAAGAATTTTTTGAATAAAGTATCAGTTGTATTTGGCATCTAAAACAGAATAATTCTTGTTTTCTGATTTTTCGGCGGTACGGAAGTTAACTGGCGCAGTCGTACGGCCATTGTTGGTGCGGTCTTTCTCAAGTGAAAAAATATAATTAAATAAATGTATCCTTAAAACAGAAAAATAAAAAACCAAAAAAAAAAAAAAAAACAGTGACAAGTTAATTGTGGAAAAAACA